AAGGAGTGTACATTTGTTAGTTCAACAATCTGAGAAGCCAGAAGGAAGGGCTTTCAGAGTCAAAACTTGACCCTCTATCCTTTATTGAAGGATTACAGGTAAAAACCTGCTGTCAATAAATAGTTGCCTTTGTTTTTGCCATTCCTACAGTACTTTGGGCTAAAGCAAAACTTTTATAAACTTAAAGCTCATGATTGCCATCTGCTGACACATGTGTGAATTATAAGCAGTCTGCATAGTTGGTATATACTGTGTTCAGATTTGGGTGTTTTGTGTCTTCCTTTCCAAAACCCATTAGGTAGATTTTATATCTGACTTTATACATGTATTTTCCCTAAAAGTAATGTATTTCATAATTTACTGAACAACTAAAATAAAACTGTTTACCAAACTGAACACATTCATTTCAAACAGCTAGTCTGTACTGAAACTATTTTAATTTTTCCTATTAACAAAGTGAAATTATAAATTTGTCATCTCAGTATACATAGTTCATATCTAGAGTGAATTTTATCAATAGATTTTGTTAAGAGGATACATGTAAATCTTTAATTGCTTTACCCTGAATCAAATGTTTATGTAATTAGATTGCTTATCATGGCAGTATATTGAAGAGGAGCTGAAATTAATCATGCTAACACCAAAAAAAAAAACCAAACACACATATATATACATATATACATATATATATACGTGTATATATATATATATATTTCTAGCAATGGAACCAAGGCATTTTCCAGTTCTTAGTCATAATCTTTTCCAAATTTTCCTCTTTAGTGCTGGGCTTTGGATTGCTATTCATTCAAAAAGATCATAAGCTTCCGCTCCTACGTTCAGCTTTACAATCTTAATGAAACTGAATCAAGTGTATTAAACTGAAGTGTCAGTCAAGGACTCAAAAAAGAATCACTTAGTATAAACACTGTGCTTGGTACTGCACTGTCATTATCTCCTTTAATCCGCACAACTTTTCATACCTTTACAGTACAAATTAGGAAGCTGAAGTTTACAAAGGCTAGACACGTGGTCGAAGGTCACAGAGCAAAGGCTGATGCCTAAAACAGCCCGACTGTGGCATCTGGCTCCTGCAAGCCAGGCCATTTTGCCTGAATTATTTTCTGCCAGACTACCGGTTCCAATACTTTGGCCAAGACCAGTGCTCCTTTGACATCTTCCCAAGTCTGTTAAGATGGTGGTATTTACCACTTTGATGGTTTTAGGCAGAGGATAAGTAAAATAAGCAACCCATTTTACTGACTCACGATTTCTTCCTTTATCAGCATTGGTATGTGGCTAGGAAAAGTGAGGATTTTTAGTAATTCAAAGCATGAGTTGTGAACTAAGTCATGCCTGGGTTAGAGTCCTTAACTGATTGACACCTCTGCCTCCTTAGGAAAGTGAATCATTCACTCGAGAAATACATTCTAGGCAGTCAGTTTGACTTCCTTTAAAAAAGAAAGAAAGAAACATGACTTTTAGCACCCAGGCTTTTCACCTTGCACTATATTAAATCATCTAAAAATAAAGGGTTTCTTGTAATAACCAAAATCTTCAACAACAGGAGGGATCTCATGGTACTTGTTTTTTCTCTTCCCTGGGGTGGTGCGTAGAACAGGTTAATTTGGGAAAGTCACTCCATGATGGTGAACATTTACATGCAGGCTGAATCACTCTTTCATCCTTTGAAATCATGACACGTGTGGATGGTGGCTAACAGTCAAAGCAGATTTAAAAGACTAAAAACTAAAAAAGTTTTCGAAGTCAAATGAGAAAATTGCCTTTAAATATCCAAAGAGTTAGAAAATTACTTCATATTTTACATTTGTGTAAAATCATTACCAGAGTAGTTGATTTCGGGTAAGTTTTGTTTTGACTTAATTGTTCTGATGTCCAACTGGTTTTTTTGTTTTGTTTTTTGGTTATTGTTATTGTTGATTCACTAAATTGTGTTTGGAAAAATTGTTTTTATTCATGTTTTATCATCTGCAGACAATCTAGGTACATCTTCACTTAAGAGAGGTTTTGACCGAATTGCTCCGGAATGCCCCCTAGGCATCAGGGGCTTTTAAGGTTCTGCCAGGTTGAGAAAACTGAACTACAGAGTCTAACACAGGGAGGCTACAGGGCTTTGCAACAAAATCAAGGTAAAGGCAAGGTAATCATCTGCAAACTTAACATATTTACCACTGGCCTTTGGGAGCAGTTTTATCCCATTCTCATCTCATGCTAAATTTGGAGTCAGTTAAAAAGTACTAAAGAAAATGCTTTTTATTTACCTTATTTAAACCTTTTATAATGCCTATAGTATACTGATTTTACAAGTGGGAAACAGGTATCAAGAGATTAGACATTTTCACAGTACCTAGGGCACATGGGAGGGTGTTGTACTCATACCACTAATTGATATACATTTTTCTTGGCACTTATGCATCTAATACATGTTTATGCCTAGATCCTATTTCATCACTTAAGACTGTAAGCTTTTCATCACCGGTTATTTTATTCATTCGTTTATGCATTTATATATTCATTCATGCATTGTGTCAACAAGAAATTAACAGTAGATCTAAGGAAGAAATGGAAACTTTTTTTCAGGCCAATTTGAGGTTTATAAACCTGGGAGACACCTTTCAGAAAGCTCTGAGTGTTGGGGCCAGTGTGAGGAAAGCAGGAGAGACTCCATCTTGAAGGCTGTCATCCATCTTACAGACAGGATGTGAACTGGGCCTGAACCCTGCCCAAGAGTGAGGAAACCACTGCTAGTGAAAACCAGGTCTCCTGGAGACTTCCTTCCCTATAGATGGCAAACGGAGATTGTAGTTGAGGTCCGGCTGCCCCTATTAGATTAACCATGGAGACACCCCCCCTTGATGTATAATCATTTTTCCCCCGCCTTTAACCTTAATTGTTTGTTCTCCTAGCACCTACCTGTTGTAAAACTCAGTCATATACAACAAAGAGGTTGCTAACAAGTAACCAGTCACGTGGGCAGGGTGGGAGGGTGTATGAAACTGGGCTCCTCAGAAACATCAGGGTCCTTGTTGGGAACTCATTCCCCTTGGACTCACTGGCCTAATAAACTGTACTCCATTGTGTTTTGCGACTCTGGACTCCACATGAGGACTGGTCTACCTGTTGAGGGCAAAGCACAATTATATACTATATGTTTTTGAGACAAAGGGTTATACATCAGATGATGCACTGACAGTTTATACAGTCCAGATATGCACTTTCAAAGTGTGTAGGGAGTCATCATAGCCCCTTACAGGATTAGGGTGGAAGGTTATCTCCCAAGGAGGTCTGGTTACTGTGCCTGCACAATACTCGCTAAAGGGGAGGGAGGAGCCCAAACCAGCAGAGCAAATTCTTATGTTTAAATTTTTCTTGTCATAAAGTATGAATTTTCTTTCTTTTTTTTTCTGAGTCAAAAGGGGGCTGCAGTGGTGAACTAGATTGATAGATATCAGGGTACCAATCTTAGTGAGCTGGGGTCTATGGAAGGCACAGGAGGAAGACCAGGCAATTAACATAAAATTAACATGAAACAAGAGCTTGAAGGTGGTAATTTATAAAGATGGAAAGCTACCTTATCTTTAGGTGGGGAAGAGAAACAGGGAGGTAGTAAACTATGTATGGGGGTGGGAGTGGAGTGGGGTGGGGTGTTGCTGTTTCCCTGGTGGCTCAGTGGTAAAGAATCTCCTGCCAATGTTGGAGATTCCAGTTGGATCCCTGGGTTCAGAAGTTGGGAAGATCCCCTGGAGAAGGGAATGACAACCCACTCCAGTATTCTTGCCTGGGAAATCCCATGGACAGAGGAGCCTGGCGGGCTACAGTCCATGGGGTTAGCAACACAACAACAACAACAAACTATGCAGAGGAAATGGATGTAAAATCTAAGCTGAAATTTAACACAGGAGTAGAGTTTTCCCATATGAGAGAAGCTACCCTATTCCCAGATAGAAGGAACAGCGTCAGACTGAAGAGCAGGAGAGGAAGAGGGGGAGGAGGGGAAAGGATGAAAAAGGTAGTGGGGAGGGGCAGAGGTGGGTTGAAAGTGGCTCAGTGAGCATGGGTGTGGCTAGCTGAGTGTGTAAAGCGAGGAGTGGGTAATGAAACTGCTGGGTGCAAATCATAAAATGGTTTGGCAATTTAAAAGCTAGATTAAGGAGTTTGGGGTATCCTCTGGAAAACGAGGCGCCTGTGTGGGGATTTAAACAAGGCAAGTCATGGTCATATTTGCGTTTCAGAGATCTGGTTGCACTTCTTGGCCATGAAACTTAAGCTTCCACACACAATTCTGTAGTTTTGGAAGCACCAACTGAGAGAAATGTCCGAATAGAGGGATGTTTCAGCTTTGGGTCCCACAAGTGTTCGGGCTGGTGTGATGTTTGGAGGTAGCAGAGAGGCCCCATGGATGACAGCTGGACAGAGCCCTTTGGAAGGAGGGGTATGTATTATTTCCTGAATTAGTGATTACAGAATGAGGAGAGAAACTGATCTGGAGAGAGACGGTGGGTTCGTTTTCGGAAGGGTTGCATTTGAGACATCTGGACTGTTTTTTAGGATTGGATTCTTTGCAGGAAATACATTCCATAAATATTTTAAATTTATTATTGTACAGTCTAACCTTGTAAATCTACCAAACCACCTCACTACTGGATATGATCAAAGTGTGAACCCCTCCCTATTAAATCTACATTCTAAATCTGTTGAGGGAGTTAGCTAAAACATAGGCTTGTGCTCCCTGAAGGGATGAGGTGCTGGCTGGCTTTAGAGAATGCTCAATCCTTAACCACAGGTTCCTAGCTTCACAGTGGTTCAAGTGGGGTGGGGGGGAAACGGTTGCCCCCTGCTGGTAAGAACGGATTACTGCAGCCACGGGAGAGGAAACTTCCTAGGGGCGTGGTAGCTTCTGGATGACGTAAAAGGCGGCCTCCGGAGATAGGCGGTTATTGACTGCGTCATTAGTGCGCGCCGTGGGAAACGTAGCTAGCCGCATGGCTGCGGGTTGCTCAGTGGCTCCGCGGCCGAAGGCGGCCTCAGAAGGGCCGGGCGGCGTCTTGCCTTGCCTAGAATTGCCTACCTACGCGGCTGCTTGTGCGCTTGTGAATAGCCGCTACTCCTGCCTGGTGGCGGGGCCGCACCGAAGACACATCGCCCTATCGCCGCGCTATCTTAACAGGAAACGCACCGGTATTCGAGAACAGCTCAATGCAGAGCTCCTGCGCTATTCCGAGAGGTACTGGTCGCTTACATTTTTTGTTCCCAGAGGAGACATAATCTTAACGTTAATAATCTTAACGTTGCCTGCCGCTCCCTTGGGGCACGGGATGGGGCAGCAGGTGGACGGTTAGTGGCAACAGAAGGGGGTCGCACCAGCTTCCGCGAGTTTAGCCCCGGGGCATTCTGGAGTCGCAGTCCACCTCGGGAGACTGGGCCTCCCTGGTCAAGATCTGTGCTGAGTCCCTTTCGTAGGCAGGAAAGAAAACGTTACGGTGACAGGAATTGTGTAAGCGGAAGGGGTAAAAAGAAGCTCGTTGCAAGACAGAGATAAAAATAGACCGGGGGTCTGGAGACCGGCTAGTTCTGTATGTTTTCTCATTTGATGATGAAAGTTAGGAATGCAGTAGTTAAAAACATTCTCACTATATAGAAAATTATACGCGAAGCGTTAATACTTCGTTTATTTATAAACCACGAAGGTTGGTTTTGTTTTGACCCTGGTTCTTTCCCAGGGTTTTTTTTCTCTTGGACCTGATCACGGATGAATGAAATACTGTTCACCTTGTTTCCTTTTTAAGAATAGGAAAGCCTGTTGCTTTTGAAGTTGGAAAAAACCTTCTAGTGCATTTAAAGTAAGATATTGGAAAATCACCTGGGCAGAGTTTCTCAAGGGATCCTGAACCCTACTAAGGATCTAGAATTTACAGCTTCCTCCAAGCACCGGCACACACTTTCACTTGTGGGTCTATCTTGTATACTAGAGAATTGGGGAATAAAACCAAAGAAACAAACAAGACCCTTATTTCAGGAGCTATAAGTGCTAGTAAAAGAGATGTAGGCCAGATAAATCCAATGAAATGTTAAAATCTGACAAATCTGAAGTTATAGTAGAGTGGTGAATTGGATCTTAGGACCTTTGGGAACAACTCGATAGGAGGAGGGAACTTCTGAGATAGTAGCATTCTGGGCAAAAAGAGTGGCATAAACGAATGGATACTAGTTGTGAAATAGAATACTTTGACCAGATAATTGTGAGCACTTTATAACTAAAGTTTATATATCAGGAGAAAGACATTGGGTACAGCTGAAAAGTTCGGCAGTTAGGGGTGGGTGGATCAGAGACGGGGCGGAGGATAATTCAGAGGATGGCCATTTTGCTCCTTTCCTGCCTTTGCCAGCTGTTTTAGGTTTTTGTTTTTCTGTTTTCTTAAGCCGGAAACTGGGTTACCACTTCATCCTCTAGGTAGTCTCCAACTCAGAAAACACTCTTGAGACAGTGGTATCTCTGGGATATAATCAGATTTGTAGTTTAAGAAACCACTTGATAGCGTTAGGTGGTGGTTTAAGGAGGGTGAGACAGTAAGCATGGAGAACATGTTTATAGTTAAAGAGACTGTTACAAAGTGTAGAGAAAATTGATTAGAGTTTGCATTTGGGAGAGTTAAGGATATGTAAGGTAGTCATAAAATCTGGAAACATAAACAGATCTTTGCTCTGTAACCAATTAATGGCTATAGTTAAAGAGACTGTTACAAAGTGTAGAGAAAATTGATTAGAGTTTGCATTTGGGAGAGTTAAGGATATGTAAGGTAGTCATAAAATCTGGAAACATAAACAAATCTTTGATCTGTAACCAATTAATGGCTCCACTTGACAGGCCTAGGGGAATAGGAGCCATTACCCCAGAGAGATGAAGAGCTGATTGGATAATGATAATTTCTGTAACAGAATTGGGATAGTGTGACCCTGTGGCCTCAATTGCAATCTGAACAGATCTGAACGCCCCACCTGACCCCGTTATTTTTGGAGTGTGCTGAAAACTCCAGTTTATTCTGTGCAAATGGGGTACCATAGATTAATAATGAGGGACAAAACATTGAACATATCAGTTATTGTAATACTGATTAACCATTTATCATATAGTTTGTTTCCAGACTTTGGGGCCATCCTGTACCATCAGAGAGGACCTGCTTCTCTGTTTAAGAAATGAGGAAAGGAAAGAGTTGAGAATAGCTCTTAGATTAGTCATCTCAGCAGCAGCCCTATTTGACAGATTGTCTACCGTTTTCCCCCAGTGACAGTTTTTTAAAGGATGATCGCATTTCAGTTTTGAAAAATCTGCTTAGAGAAAGTAGTTTTCTAAAAATCACATTAAAACTTCTATCTTTGAGAGGTCATCAATGACAGCTCTTGAGTTATTTGAAAATGGCAAATATGTTCCCTCCCAGTAGTTCCAGTTTATTAATTCAGAATGTCTCAAAGCACAAGTGGACTACAAGTTTCCATGAAGAGTCCGTGTTTACTCAATTTCTTCTGTATAGGTGGTGGTCTAGTTGCTAAATTGTGTCTGACTCTTGCGACGCCATGGACTGTAGCCTGCCAGGTTCCTCTGTCCATGGGATTCTCCAGGCAAGAATACGGGAGTGGGTTGCCATTTCCTTCCCCATCTTCAGTGTAGAGGCAGCCTTTATTCTCATGTATAACATATAAAAGTCTTAAGTGTGCTTGCAATCTATTGATCCCTTAAACTTGATATGATTGTTCTCTCAATATCTCAAGTGAGGCTACCTACCACACTCTGGAAACATACGTAGGATGGTTTCAGAAAAGCAAGAGGGGAAAAGATATAATGTTGAGGTGTCTGTCTTTTGATGATTTTTAGTATATTTTATGCAATGAGTTGCTTCCCAAAATTGACACAAGCTGTAGGTAGCAGTTCTGAACCCTGCAGAACTCCATTCGCTCTCTTGAAACATACTTTACTGAAATTAAACTTAAAGATAATATTAGATTAGCCACACAATTCATTTGGGTTTTTTGAAAACCCAAACGAACCTTCTGGTCAACCCAATATGATCTACCAACACAATCGGGGGAAAAAAAAAATTCATTTAGAGCTCTCATACAATAAAATGTATTTCAGTGCGATAACACTCACACATGGCTACCTGGAAAGAATAAAGTAGTTAGATGCCTCCTGAAGCTGCATCTTGAATCATTGTGAAAGTATTAGTTGCAAATGTAGAGTGATGGGGGGGTTTTGAGTTGACAACTCACATCACCTACAGTGTCTAAATGGTAAAATGCTCTTACAAAACAATCTACTCTTGAATTTATATACTAGTTATATTCCAGAAAATTTTAATTGATATTGAAACCATGCAAAGATGATTTTATGTTCATAATTACATACATTAAGTTAGGTACTATAATCAACTGTTTATAAATACTTAGAAAATGAGGCTTGTCCTCTCATTTAAATCATGCAGACCCGGGGACAATTTTCATTGTGTCAGGCTGTGTAAAAATGGCAGGATGTCTCCCATCCCTGGCCTTCACAGGTGTGACAACTATGATTTATCCCACAGACTCCCAAATGCCACTTATGGGACAGTAGTATCCCCCCACTGGAAACTGATTTGGGGAAACAAAGTCTTGTTTTTGTTTTTTGTCTGATATGGCAGTTATTTTTAACCCCTCCTTGCTCTTCTGCTTTCTGGGTCTCTAATATTGTCTGGCCTGGCGTGCTGCGATTCATGGTGTCCCAAAGAGTCGGACACGACTGAGCGACTGAACTGAATATTGTCTTAGTGATGGTATGGTTCCTGTTTAGAAAAGCTACATGCAGAAATTAGTAATTCAAAGAAAGGCTTTCTGGAGTAAATCTCAGTGTTTATGGATTTCCTAATTGGGTAATTAAGTTGTATTCCAGTGACTCCTGGCTGTTTTAAAACAACTACTCCTAGGTATACATTCTTTCTTTTATTCTGTGTGAACCATTCTAGAAGTTTGAGTTCACCAAAAATGTTCTCTGCTCTCAAAGACCTTAGCGTCCTCTCTGGAATGCAAACATATAAGCAAAGATAAATAAGAACAGTGATAAGCTTTATCAGGCTTCCCAGGTGGCGCTAGTGGAAAAGAACCCACCTGCCAATGCAGTAGACCCCTGGGTCAGGAAAAATGCCCTGGAGGAGTGTATGGCAACCCCCTCCAGTACTCTTGCCTGGAGAGTCCCATGGACAGACTGTTGGAGGCCTGGTAGGCTGCAGTCCATGGGGTCGCAGAGTCCGACACGACTGAAGGGCCTCAGCATGCGCGCTGTCCTCAGAGTCTTGTAGGAGTGGAGCAGCGTGACTTCAGCTTTGCCGGGGGGTCAGGGAAGCTCGCTGAAGCAGGTCATGGCTGTGGCAGTGAAGCCACAGCTCCACCAGTCTCCTTAACTACTTACAGTTTTTTAATCACTTGGAAATAGTTGTTGTTCAGTCCCTCAGTCGTGTCAGACTCTCTGCGACCCCGTGGACTGCAGCACATCAGGCCTCCCTGTCTTTGGAAATAGTAGTTGCCCCCTGATCCTGACTGTCAAGCTACAGATTACAGTGTCAGTCAGTTCTCAAAAGCTAATATAATTGTATTTCTTACTTCCTTACACTAGCAACAGTTGCAGTTTGGGGATTTTTCTCCATCAAGTTATTGGCTTTAATATTCAGGGCTTCAACTTGAATCCTAATACTTCTCTTGCTACATGCCATCTAGTACAGATATTCAGTAATGGTGGGTAATACCAAAATTGACTTGATTCAGTTATAGTCACAGAATGACATTTTTCTTACTAAGTCTCATTTTTTACTTCTCATTCTAGCATAACTAGAATTCAAATGGACAGCAAATAGGGAAGAAGGATCAACTTACTGCTCTTGGATAATGGACATTTTGTTTCTGGGTATTGAATAATTATTTTTAAGTTAGCCATTATTTTGGAACCCCTGGGTGAAATTAAACCACTAAAGTTGTTACAGGCTAATCATATATTATTGTATATATATATATTTTCACCATGGGTGTGATTATATTAGGAGATGTATACTTTCTGGACTCAGAATCCGTATAATGGCTTAGTTTAAAAGAGGATAAATAACATTTTCCTTTCCTTTTTTTTTATAGCCTTTTAGGTGTACCCATTGCTTATGATAACATCAAAGTAGTGGGTGAATTAGGAGATATTTATGATGATCAAGGACACATTCATCTTAACATTGAAGCAGATTTTGTTATTTTCTGCCCTGAACCAGGGCAAAAACTTATGGTATGTATCTTTTTTCCTATTGTTCTTTGTACAGTTATTAAATTATGTAATTTGGAAAAATTTAAGAGATTGTACACTTTGGGATTTTACAAGGATTGTTATTTCAGGTAACTAAAAATCATTTTTAAAGAAAATTTTTCAGTTTAGGTTTTTAATTTTTACTGAAGTGTAGTTCATTTGCATTGTTGTGTTTCAAGTGGAAAGTGATTCAGTTTAGATACGTGTATATGTATATTTTTCAAACTCTTTTCTGTTATAGATTATTACAAGATCCTGAATTTAGTTCCCTGTGCTACACAGTAGATCCTTGTTATTAATCCTAACCTCTTAATTTATCCCCTCTCCCCTTCCCCTTTGGTAACCCTAAGATTGTCCTTCGTGAATCTATTTCTGGTAAATAAGTTTATTTGTATCCTGTTTTTAAATTCCACATGTAAGTGATATCATATGTTTATCTGTTCTTCTCTGTCTCACTTAACTTCACTTAGTATGATAATCTCTAAGTCCAGTCATGTGGCTGTCAATGGCACTTCATGGCTGAGTAATATTTCAGCATGTATAACACATCTTTATCCATTCATCTGTGGATGGACACTTGAGTTGTTCCATGTCTTGGGTATTATGCTACTGTGAACATTGGAAGCATGTATCTTTTTCAAGTAGAGTTTTGTCTTTTCTAGATATATGCCCAGGAGTGGAATTGCTAGATCATATGGGACTCTGTTTTTAATTTTTTAAGGAACCTCTATACTGTTCTCCACGCTGGTTGCACCAGTTTATATTCCCAGCAACAGTGTAGGAGGGTTCCCTTTTCTCCATACCCTCTTCAGCATTTATTGTTTGTGGACTCCTTGGTGAGGGCTGTTCTGATATCTGTGCAGTGACAATCGCATTGTGTCTGTGCATTTTTCTAGTAATAAGCCATGTTGAGTGTCATTTCTTGGGCCTTTAGACATCTGTAGTATGTCTGTATATGTGCAATACTGTTTTAAGTTACTGGTCTTTTTATTTCAAAAGCATTGCTACTATCTTATATTGGTACTTTTTTCTAATTTATCATGTTATACTCTCATACTTACTGCTTTCTAGATCCCACCAGAGAAACTTGGCTACCTCTTGGTTGTGAAGATATTATTCTATACAATTCTAAAATTTTGATAGTTTTTCCTTTCCTCATTGAGTATTTAATTGATAAACTGTCTTTTACAGCGAGAGAAAAATTGAATGCAAAGTATAGTGTTCTCATATACATTTCACTCTACCCACCCCCAAAAAACCACACATAATGTTTCTCTTATTATTGATAAGATGTGGTGCATTATAATTGTTGAGCCAATATTGATACATTAAGTAAAGTCTATGGTATATAGTAGAGTTCACTGTTTCTATTGTAGCTTCTGTGGGTTTTGACAAAGGTATAATGACATGAATCCAACATTATAGTATTCCTATGGAATAATTGGTCACTGCTCTAAAAATCCTGTGTGTTCTGCTTATTCATTGCTCCCTCTTCCCCCTGGAAACCATGGCGACTACTTTTTTTTTTTTTTAATTGTCTCCATAGATTTGCCTTTTCCAGAGAATATCATATAGTGGAATCATAGAGTATGTAACCTTTTCAGATTGGTTTCTTTCACTTGGCACTATATGTTTAAGGTTCCTCCATGTCTTTCTCTTGATAGCTTATTTTTGTTTCAGAATAATATTCCATTGTATAGATGTACCAGTTTGTACAGACCACCTAGAAGGTACCATTCTGGACTCCAGACTCCTTATGGTGACAGACAGGTTTTACTCTTGTCCCATGTGGAAGGAGGTGCTGACATTAAACCACATTGTATATATATATGTTATTTATAGTTCTGTAATTCAAAAGGTGATTTTTAAAAAAGCTTCAAGTTTTCATTCATCTAGTTTATATTTATTGATTAAGGAAATAGGAAACTTGGAAATTTTAATTTTAACCTTAAAATCATATAGAATGTATTGTTATTTTACTTTTAAAGCTTCTAATAACATTATGATTTCATTAAAATAGCCATGCTCAAGGTGAGCTTTCTAAAAAATTCTAGTGTTCCTAAACTTATATTTTAGTGTAACATGTGGTAAGCTTTAAATGAAGATCAGCTTAAAGATTGTAAGGTTTGTTTCATCTTTTTGGCACTCCTCTTGCTGTAATACTCATTTTTTCCCTCTTCTCAGGGTACAGTTAATAAAGTGTCCTCCAGCCACATCGGCTGCTTGGTCCATAAGTGCTTCAATGCCTCCATCCCTAAACCTGAGCAGATGCCAGCTGACCAGTGGCAGACGCTGCAGATAAACGTGGGTGATGAACTAGAATTTGAAGTATTTCGTTTAGACTCAGATGCTGCTGGAGTATTCTGCATTCGGGGAAAACTAAGTATGACTAGGTCAGTTCCTAAGCACATTATTACCATTTTGATACTTAATCATTTCTACTTAATTCTGAATTTAGGAAACATAAGCCCCTCTTTTAAAAGTTAATTTCTTAGACTATTTGTACTTCTAAACCACAGAGTCAATGTAAATATGAATCTTAAATGTTATGACAGTGCATTGAATATTCTAAAGCTCTGCATCTAAGTGGTCTACATTGTAATAATTCAGTTTTTCAAAGTATTGTCATGTTGTTGTTAATGTTAACATTAACAACTAGTATGTTGTTAATCTTTTTTTAAAAAAAGTTAATCCTTGAACTTGAGACTACTAGAAGCTTAGTTATATTAACATAACAATTAGTGTTTTGTTTTTACACAGTCGAAACAAAAATTATTTGATTATTGTCATTATATCAGGTAGATCATTTAATTTCTGTATTCTTCTTGTTTGGAATTCTTTTAGGAAATTCTCTGATCCTGACCCTTTTTTCTAGATTCTGCCTTGATAAGCAGTGAGAATATGGATTAAAGTTTTAGAGCAGCTGTCCAACAGAACTTTCTGTAATGATAGAAGTGTGCTGTATGTGTGCAATATAGTAGCCTCACTCTTGAGGAATTGAAATGTGTGACTAGTATGTCACTGAGGAAGTGGGTTTTTAATGTTACCTTATTGAAATTACTTAAATAGTTCTGTGTGGCTATTGCTAATTCAAGGGACAGCAGTTCTGTAGAGAGCTGCTTCACTGATCTTTGTTTTTATTATATAAAATACTCAGAGCTTTGCAGCATAATACTGCTTCATGAGTGCTCAGTCGTGTCAACTCTTTGCAACCCCATAGACTGTGGCCCATGAAATTCCTCTGTCCGTGGGATTCTCCAGGCAAGAATCCTGGAGTGGGTTGCCATGCCCTCCTCCAGGGGATCTTCCCAACCCAGAGATCAAACATATGTCTTACGGTCTCCTGCATTGGCAGGCAGATTCTTTACAACTAGTACCACCTGGGAATCCAGTACTGCTTAAGCATAGTTTAAAAAGAACAAGGAAATGAGGATTGGGATAGTAGATGGGGAACGCCAACATTTTGATAAATACCAGAAGTATGTTTTCTCCCTATCAGATGTTACTGGTTTGGCTAATAAGGCTGTGGTGATGTTTAGGGTTCAGCATTTTTCGAACCATATTAAAATTCAGAAACCCTGTTTTGACAAAACTTTTATGTCATTTTTATGTGTGAAACAGTCTGGGAAAAATACTTGGGAAACAAAAAATTTAACACTTCTAAGACTACTCAGTGTGCTGGGAGATAATAGAATATTTGAAATTTGTGTCACAGTCATGTTATTTTGTACTACTGTCATAATTTAGAAAGACCTTACCATATTGGAATATTCTTGATCTTACTTTGTTCTTTTATTTTGGCTTAATGCCCTATAAATTTTTTTAATTCTTATAGTTTACAAACCAAGTGCTCTGCAGTTCCTGAAAAAGCACCAGAAACTGGCGCTGATGAACCTGTCGAAAAACCTCCAAAGAAGAAAAAGAAAAAGAAGAAAGACCTAGAGCCATGTGAAGCGGAAGGCAGAACCACAGAGCCAGCAGAATTTGCAGATGTTACCATGAAGGACGAGACAGACCTGCAGGTTAGTAACAGTGTGAATGGCCTCTGGGAGGGAGAGCGGAAGAAGAAGAAGAAGAAGAAGAAAAAGCACCAGGAAGGTCAGGACCAAGAGCCTGTTTTCCAAGGCAGTGACTCCAGTGGTTATCAAAGTGACCATACAAAGAAGAAAAAGAAAAGAAAGAGTGAGGAGGCTGAACTTACACCACTCGTGGAACATGCACCTAAAAAGAAGAGGGAAAAATAATTTTCTTTTGTGTGTTTTAAATATGATTTGGTTTTTTAAAGATTTATACACAGTCGATGACTAAAGTTTAATTAAGAAATGTTTTGTATTGCAGTATTTTGCCTAACGGAACATTTTGATTAGTTGAGTTTGGGGTACTAAAATTAATTTGGGAAATATCAGTATTATTAAAGTGCCATTTATTGTATACAGAATAGAAAGGTAAGAACTGCCTTCATTCTTCCAGTGGATACATTCTAAATAAAATGGTTTCTACAGTCCCAAGACTAACAAAAGGACTTTTGTAATATGGTGATAGAATGTATATCATAAAGAATGAGTTTTGAGCTTGAGTGGTGGTTGTTACAGGTTTTGAATTTAGTCATGATGTTACATGCCATGTCATTAGGCTTTGTTTAAAATTTAAATCATTTACCAGTTTTAGGTTTTTTGTTTGTTTATTGTTTACCTTGGGATGGTTTGTCAGAGGCATTTCTGAAGTTTTCAGAGCTTTATAAACTGCCCTCTTCAGAACCATAGCCCTGCCCATGGATCACGAGTTAGGAGACAGTGCTGTTCTTTCTTCTCTGTGCATGTGTGGTGTGTTCTTTTCTTTCTCAGAGGAAGAGTCTGATGAAGACAGAATAAAGGTGATTCTGACTAGTGGGGAATTTCCCTATTTTTAATAACTGAGTTAAGCTACTAGAAATTATTACGAAAACAGTTATTCACTGCTTTCACTGAGAAAATGTGGAATATGTCTTAACACTGAAGAATGAACGGACAAGCGAGTTCGGCCTGATAATCAATGCAAGATTGTGTTCATTCATTCAACAAAATTCAATGTATTTGTGTTACACATAGTAGACCATCATTCTAAGATCAGGGGTATGATGGCAAACAAGGCAGAAATGATTCCTTCCCTCATGGAATGTCATAGGAGAGACTGATGCACCCATACAATATAAGTAAGAAAAGACTGAGAATTGCTAATGCTGGTAAGTTCTAAAAGAAGATTCTCTCTTCCCACTACTGTGATCCACGGCAGCCCCATTCAGCTGCCATTTATCTAGTATCAGACGCAGTACTGCTCTTACTCTGTTTACTGTCTGTACCAATAGAAGAGAGAGCTGCAAGAGTCATTCATGATGTTTGTCTATAAGCAGATGTGCCAGACAGTAGAAAGGGGTGAGCCAGTGTCTTTTCTTACCACTAAGTTCATGAGGCTATTTAGCCCTCACAATGAACCTAGTCCCATTTGAGATGAGGTGTCAGTGTAAAACATATCAGACTTTGAAGATGCACAAAGAAAGAACGCAAAATACCTCAGTTTTGTATGAGATTGTAATATTTTGGTATAGTGGAATAAATAAAATATTAAATTGGCTTTTTCCGTTTTTGTTTTTGCTTTTTAATTTAAAAATTGTATCTGAGGCCTGTATTGTCTTTGTTTTGTAGAGCACTGATTTGAAGGATGAGTTGAAAAAGATTTAGAATAACCCAGTCATGTTCACAGGGTTTAATGTAGTGCCATACCTAGAAAATGTTTTATGAGTGCTTCCTTAAAATTTTTTAATTTGAATACATAATTGTAATGTCTGACTTAATATTAAAAGTTAATGGTTTAGTGAAACAATTCTAAATTCCTGATGGTAATGGCCTATCAAGCTGTTAAATTAATGCTATTCATAGCAAAATACATCCTGGCTTACCAAAATAAATTCTCACATGTTATGTTTACATTTTTTTAAGAAAAAAGTATGCTGAACTTGAAACTAAATTTATCCATGGTTTTTCACAATGACAGTAGCAGAACTGGTCATTTGCCTTGCCTATAACAGTGACAGATTCTACCTGATACAGAAACCTCTGATTATGGTATCATCCACATATCCTTCAAAACATTTCTTACATGCTACACTAATCTAGGTTTTTCCTTTTCTATCTTGGAATTTGCTCATTAAAATCTAGCCTAAACCTCTTACCTTGTCTTCAGTTCCTATTAATCACTGGAAATATAAGTTTGAAATGTATTTAGGGCTATGCTTCCCACAACCCCAGTCATACCCCCCCCATCATAGTAAACACTTCATACAACTCAGTATGAAGAAAGCCAAACAACACAATTAAAATATGGGCAGAAGACCTAATTGACATTTCTGCAAACAAGGCATACAGATGAAGTACAAATCAAAATGACAGTGGGTGTCACTTCACAGAGGTCATCATTAAGAAGTCTAGAAATGATAAATGCTGAGAAAGTGTGGAGAAAAGAGAAGACCCCTGCACTGTTAGTAAGGATTTAAATTGGTGCAGCTGCTGTGGAGAACAGCATGGAGGTTCCTTAAAAAACCAAAACTACCATATGACCCAGGAATCCCACTACTGGGCATATACCCATAGACAGCCATAAATCGAAAAGGTAACATGTTCACTGCAGTATTATACACAATAGCCAAGATAGAGAAGCATCCTAGATGTCCATCCACATCTGAATGGATAAAGGAGCTGCTATACCTATATATAAGGGAATGTTACCGAGTGATCGATAGATCAGGTTGAAATAATAGCATTTGCAGCAACAGGGAATGAACCAGTGACAGCTAAGTGAAGTAAGGCAGAGGAAGACACAGACCACACGGCATCACTGATAGGTGGACTCTAGCGTTTGAATGCAGGGACTCACAAAGGAGAACAGACTCGCTTCGAAAACCCACTGATACTGTTACAGGAGGGAATGTGTCAGGAGACTGGCCTTACCGTAGACACACTCGCATGTATAAACTAGGTCACCAGCAAGGGGGCCCTCTACTGGGCAACACGCTGTAATAACCGGTATGGCCAAAGCATCGGGATCACAGTGGATATGCACCTCTATACATACCTAAGTCAAGATGTTGTCCACCTCCAGCAAGTACATCAACTATACCCCAACACAAAATACACATAAATTTGACAACTGGAGGAAATGCCTACCATAGTCCCCTCAGGCCTCAGTGACCCGGGATGGTGACACATTCCTGGAGTTTGAACAGCCTTCCAACCAAGGCCGGACCCTCCTGCGGCTGAGGGAGCTGAGGATGATGACCGAGAAATGAGGTCCGTAAGGACCGCTACTGTTTGTGCGTTCTAGAAGAAACAACCCTCTCCAGAGCAGGGCTGCCTATCCATGACTAAAACAATCCTAGCACACACAGACACGGGAGACCAACTGTGCTGAATAGCTTGGAAAAGTCGTCTGATGGCCATGCCTCCTGGTGCTGGCCTTCTTACCTCCAGCGTCTTAGAGTCACCCCACTCGTAGATGATAGCACTCTAGGCAGAACACGTGTGGGAGGCTTGGGATTTGCCTTGGGTGAGGAAGTGAAGAACGATGAAGCAGTGAGCACAAGCCCTGGGTGTGTGTGCTGACACATGCCACGCCCATGAGCAATGCGGGAACAGGACCTGCACTTCGCTTTGCTGCACCAAGAAAACAGAGTGGGGCGTGTAGAGAAATGCTGCCGCCTTGTGGCCATTTTGTGTAACAACTCTAAAACTAGGGCTCCGAGGAGCTTTGCACTCACAAAGCCCTAGGGGCTGTGAATGACTCTTGTCCTTAAGAAACAGCCCTGGGATGGGTATTTGCGTAAGAATCGAAAACGGACAGCCTTTCAAGAAGCCAACTGCAGCAGGTAAATTTACTCACAACACTAACAAGTACAAAGATCCCCTTGTCACACATTATTAGAGAAAGGAAAAGGAAACCTACAGGAGATATATCCTCCTCCACCCATCAGATGGTGGTCAAAAAGTCTACAAAAACGATCAGTGCTGCAAAGGGCCTGCAGAGAAGGGAATCCTATGCCAGACTGTGAATGAAAATTGCCAACAGCCATATGGAATTGAGCATGGAGTTTCCCTAAAAACCTGAAGATGAAGATATTGTGTGATGCAGAAATCTTACTCTTGGGCATACATCCGGATCAAACTATAGTTGGAAAAGACATCCACCCCAACCTATACTACAACACTGTTTTCAAGAGCCAAGACATGGAAGCAATCAGAATGTCCATGGAGAGATGAAAAAGAAGATACGGTACATAAATTTAAAGGAATGGTATTCAGCCATCCAAAAAAAAAAAGAAAGAATACCATTTGCAGCAACACAGAAGGAACGAGCCACGATGATACAAGGGGAAGTAACTCAAGAGAGGGAGAGAGATCATATGGGATCACTGTTAGGTGGAATCTAAAATGTGACACAAAGGAACTCATTTCCAAAGCAACAGACTCTCAGACTTTAAAAAGCCACTTTATGGTACAAAAGAGGTCACATCAGGAGGAAGGGGTCAACGAGGACACAGATTAATATATGTACTCTTTAGAATATGAACCTAGAGCATCAAAAAGTACATAGTGTATAGCACCAGGAACCCTATTCAACATTGTATAAAACCTTATAAGGGCAAAGCTCCTAATACAGACTGGATATTCACCTATATATACCTGAATCAAGTTGCTGGACACTTGTAACAAACTCAACACTGGATATCAACTATATCCCAATAGAAAATAAAAGTTAATTTTCAAATAGGTGAAAATAACAGCTATATTCCCCTCTGCCCTCTGTGATCCAGGCTCCTGTCGCAAACCCAGACACATTCCCACTGGTGCACAACCACGTTCCACATCCATTTATAACCCAGGAACAGAACTTGCACTCAGCTTTGTTGCCCCAAAACCTGAGTGGGGCATACAGAAATGCTGCCTCCTTGTGGCCATTTTGTGTAACAACAACTAAAACTGGGTCTGAGAAG